TGTTTATGAGAATCAAAAGTCTAGGAAATCTATTCCACTTGCACTGTGGCACGTGCATAGTATGAGAAGATGAAAAACGATAAAAGCCTATCAAGGAACAAACATGTCATGCATTAGAAAAACAAGTGCAAGAAAATAAACGATAAAGTACGAACAGTACACAAGCATCGTAATTCGATTAGGTTACCTCTCTCATCTTTCAATGTATTTTCGATTTTCTAAATATATGAAAAAAATTTGAAGCAGTTCAAAGTCAGTTTCGTTCTTTTATTTTGATCAACGTCATTATATGAATAGACAACGAAATCCTTTTAATTATGAGTAAATTAATGAGAAATAATAACGTTTATCTATACACTTCTCTAACTCATCTACGAGAAACGAAGATAGAGTATCTATTAGCAACAAAAATTCATTTGTAATGATTTAAATAAAATCTAAATAAGTAATTATCATTTTCTAAATATGTAACAACACTCTTTAATATTCAAAGATTTTATTTCTAAATATTTAGTTTTATTTCAAAAACCAATCTTAAATTGTTGATGTCTTATCATCATGTTCTTTTCTCATATGCAGAAGTGCAAGCCAATGGCGACTAAATTGCCATTATGAATTTCTACATCGACTCATAGTGAGCAATTTTGATGGAACACGCAAATATAACGTTTTTTCTATCAAAATTACATTTTCCATTAGAAATATGATATTAGTTGTTACTACTTTGAGAAAAGTAGCTCAAATAAAGATAAAATTTGGAAAAAATTTTAATGGAAAATTGTTAAGGAGGACTCTTGGTCTCAAGTTTGGCCAAAAAATTTTCTACTTGAAAAACTAACAAACTTTATATCATCAGATTCAATTTTTAGGCCGACCGAGTGTGTCACCAATTTTCTTTGAAAGTATTTTGGTAATCAATAAATCATGAAAGATCTGAAAAAACAAAAAATTTTTGAAAAACTTATAAATCATTTCAAAAGTAGCTACGCATCTTTACGCTAATTCAGTGAATATGTCAGACAGAGAAAAACATTCTGTAAAAGTTTCGTCCAATCAAGAGTTATGCTAAAATGTGCATACACAATACAGTGAACACGCCTTTTTATAAAACTTTTAGTTAACAAAGAATAATTAATTATGCCAACCCTGAAAGTGTTAGAATTAAGCTTTTGTTATACAAGAATTTGGCTTTACGACTTTATACGATCTATCTCTTAGGATCGTTCGACTTTCTTTGGAAAAATAAAATTTTCCCTGACATAACAGAAATTTGACTATTTTATTGAGCCTAAGATTTTTGAAATGCTTTAATTTGCTAGAATAATTTGCTTATCAAAAAGTCGATCATTACGCAAAACATTTTGAACATAAATCAAACTACGAAAAATATCCTTTTCATTTTTTCATCTAACGCTCATGATGTTGTTCATGGTGCGATTTAAATCTTTTCGTACACTAAGCCATAACAGTTTCTTTGACATTTTACTGTTAAGCATAACTTTTATTTGATCTGAATTTTAATATAGATTTTTCTCCATGCAACAAAAAGCTATATAAAAATTTAAAAAAATTATTTATAATCAATTTAGTGTGATTATAAGTCATTTCTTTATGATTATGAATTATACTTTTTAATCAAAATTAATTGTAACAATTGATGCGATTTCTATATTTGGATTTTTTTTTATTGTAACTAATTTGTAATCAATTAATAATCGGTCTAGAATCAATTTTTCGCATCAGTGGTTATATATGGGTACAATCTGGCAAGTTGAAATAAATAACGATGATATTCTATGTTCTATCAATTTATTTACTTGTATTCTACATGTTTTAGTAATTCTGTGTGACTAATTTTTTTTATCGATAGATCAAAATTATTAATTTCAAATTTTTACATGGAATCTCGTAAAAAAGTAAGTTGTAGTTGATGAACTACATTTAAATAAATATCATATTAGATTTTACAAATAAGTGCAAGTAAATATTCCTAATATGTATGGCTTTATATCAGATAATTTTAAAACTATGCCATCACAATAAAATCTACAGACTTAAAATGGGTGGATTAGGGTATGGTTGTTGGTGTGTGAGTAACGACTGACGCAAACGTTCTTACGCAAAGGCCAATTAATTTTTTATTCACTAAGATATATGTGAACAAATTCGACGGTATTTGTACACAATCTAGGTCGAAAACTGTTTCTAACTGTATGTTCAAGAAGCCTCTATCGTGTCTTGTCTTTCAATAAGAGGCACGTCTTTAAAAAACACTAAAATGTGGTCTATAAAAGGAAACAAATACTACAAAAGGTACCGATCCCACAGTATTATTCAATTTCTTCCGGCTTATATCATGAGATGATGTTCATCTTTTCTCTATCAGATTACTATCTCTATTCTTGTTACAGTATGAGGAAAACACTATGGCATTATTTGAGATGACATTGAGAAAACTTATGCTCGCTTCTCTAACTCTTTATTGATTGACTTTTCACATTGTTTTACTCGCTGTTTGATTTTGTCATTTCTAGTTATTGACTCAGACATATTCATAGAGCGAGTATATCAAGTCATTCATACCCATCATTCCAACCAGTTTCATTAAAAATGGCGTCATACGAATTCAGAGAATTTGTATCGGCTCATCATCATTTTCAAATTCAGTTTTGACGTTATTTCTTACGTCATTGTTTTTCAAATTGTCGATCACATCATCTGCTGCGATACCGTATGATTTTTCTATTGAATTTGTAGAGAATCGTACTATGTAGAAAATCAAAACTACAGTGGCAACATACAATTGATTGAATTGAAAAGAATAAGAAAACAATACTTAGATATTATTTTTTTTGTGGTGCCCATTAGTTTGAGCTGGTTTTACAGATCCTATTATAGTGCTGTTTAAAGGCGTACTCCGTAATGAAGTACATGACATGATAGAAGTTTTCTGAATATAGACTCTGTACAAGTACTTTCGAGTTTTTCTACATATGTTTGAGTCAATGGAAAATGAGCCGACATTTATCCAGGAACTTTTGCAGCATCCATTATCAGTTTGAAAGTAATTGGTTGCATAAGTGAAGAGAAGCGTCATACGCCACACATCCCAACACTAAAACTAACAGCGACACCCACATTCACATTTATGTATATATCTAATATTACTATCAATTGGGCCTATAAAGTAGTATATTATGCAGAAAGAGTTGAATATTCAGTCGAAAATCAAGCAGCTGGGAATGATGAACGCTACTTTTAGAAAAAAATTCATCAGTAAATCTTACTAAATGATTATTAAGAGCGAATGAATAAAAAAGACCTTTTACATTATGCATGAAGTATTTACTATTAGATACAAATACGAAATATCTATATATATGCTAATAGGTTTTTATTATGAATAATGAATCATAAATACGCTGTTGATGATACTGAAAAAAAATAAAAGCAATAAAATAAAACATTAAAAAGAGCAATGCTATTAAATAACTTTTCCTGAATGAACAGATATAAGAAATATTAATCCATCAGTTTTTATTTTTTTTATTTTTAACATATTTCTTAGTCTTCAAAGTGATGCATGACAGCCTTCATAAAGCAATGTCGTTTAATTATTGGACGATATTATCAAGCATGCAACTCAAATTTATTGTATAGCTTCACACATATTTCAAAGTGAATTCTCCAATTCAGATATTCTAACATCGTTGACATTGCTTTATATGAATCTTAACTACATAGAAATGTAGAATACTGACAATAAGAAATAATTAGAATGAATGTTATTTGTATTAACCCGTACTTGTTTTTTTCATACACGACAGAAATGTGAAAAATCACCTTGAGATCGAATCATCGATCATTACGCTTTGTAGGTAGTAAACGACATGTGATTAATTTTGATTAATTGATTATTCTCTTTAAGCATGTGATTTACGTATATATTTAGAAAAAAAAATAAGAGTAATGCGCTATAATGTTGTGTTACTGTCAATTGTTTACATTTTTATGTCTTTTATATAGATAATGATATTTGAGCAGCATCAATACCAGCCATAGTTTATACTTCTATTGTCAACTAATAATCAAACTACAGACTAGACCTCCTATTACATTAAATAATCATTCTAATTCGTTGTCTCATTTCTAGAAATTCATTCATCCAATAACAAGCTTTATTTTCTAAATATTTCGTCCTTTTTACCTCATCAACTATATCTCTGGCTTTAGCTCTCTATGATTCCACTCTCTCAAAAGAAAATGAATTGTGTACAAACAAACAAGTCCTTTGAAGTGTTAGTAAAGTACATTGGCCCACTCAAACCGAAGTTTTCATTGACTATAACTAATTGAGAGTTCGACAGTCTTTAATTTAGTTTGAGTCAACCGATGGATTGCATATTTATTATTTTCACTAAGTATTTTATTTATTAATTGATTGATTTGTTATTAGAATTTATATTTTCGTAATCAGCTATATATTATTCATAACTTTCATCGTGAACAATAGTGCTAATCAATTAAAAATTCTTTGAACCTATATACTTGTTCTTATGAAAGTAATGTTCTACTTATACTTGATTGCTTCAAAAAATCAAGGATATTTATCGTTATTTTTTTTTTTTAGATTAAGACATCTATAAATCAAAGCAAATATAAAAGTAATGGAAAATTATAATAATTTTTATTCACACAAAGTCCCATTATCAATCAAAATATTCTGTAGTATTTTTATATGGTTCCCTGTTCTAATATCTTTCATTAGTATATGGTACTTTCCACAAATTACAATTATTTATAATATAATAGTATCTATATATATAATAATTTCGGTTTTATTAATGTATGGAACTTGTTTTGTTACATTTGTTAAGCAGAAACGTATCATTTATAAGTTTTTTAATAGTTTTAAATGGATTAATATGAAAAACACATACATAAAAAATCGAACTCATAAATCCAATGATAATAATAATGAAATTGAAGATATATTACATATGGTTATTATACCAATATTTAAAGAAGAGCCATTAATTATTGATAGTACTTTAAAATCATTAGCAGAACAAAATGTATCAATGATAATAGGTTTAGCATTAGAAGAACGTGAAATACATAGTGATATAAAATATAATAATATAATTCATAAGTATGAAAATAAATTTCTTAAAATAATAAAAACAGTTCATCCTGATGGTTTAAAAAATGAAGTAGCAGGTAAAGCATCGAATTGTAATTATTGTATTCAAATATTAGTAAAATATTATGAAAATAACTTAAAAGACTTCTATAATTATGTTATGATTACTGCATGTGATTGTGATTCAATATGGTGTAAAGATTATTTTTTATATTTGAATTATTTATCTATGAAAAATAATTTAAAATATTTTAATCATATTATTTACACACCAAATATAACTAATTTAAAAAATTTTTACTCAAATCACATACTAACAAATTGGATGTCTATTCTTCGATTGATAGCTACACATGGACATTTTCGTTGTTTAGGTTCTATTCGTTGTTTTACAAGTGAATATCATATACCATTAAAATTATTAAAAAAAATTGATTATTGGGACAGTGATTTAGTACATGAAGACGTACATATGTGTAACAAATTAGCAATATTAGAGGAAAAATTTTTAATCGTTAAGTCTACATTTTTACCATGTGATAATCAAACACCGACAAGTATTAGTTCAATATATCAAAGTTTTATTCTGTTGTGGAACCAATCCTTACGTTGGAATTTTTTTCTTTACGATTTATATTATTTATTTCATCAATTCCTATTAAATTTATTTAGCATAAAACGTTATGAAAATTTTCAAATAAATTCATGGAAAATTTTCATACAAATTATTAATAATTATGAAAATTTATTTTATTTTTTTATTGCACCTATTTTTAATAATATCTTTTGGATAGTTTATTTCTGTCTGTTTCATAATTATTATTACAATACGCTTATTTATTATTTATTAAATTATATTCAACCATACTTTATAATTATAGAAATTTTCTTAACAGTTCTCTCTACACTGTTTATTTTAAATGTCAACGATGAAGATACAAGAGGTGAATTATATGATTGGAAAAAATATATTCTTTTTGTATTTGGATTAATTTTTCTTCCTTTTTTTGGTTTTATTTATCAAGGTATTAATTTAGTTTTTGCATGGATTCAAACGTTGAAAAGTTCTTGTAGTCATTCAGATTCAGCCTTGAAAACGATTTTGGATACTAAACAAAAATAATTCAATGTTTTTTTTTTTTTCTTGAAAATAAATACTGATAATTGTTGAATTCAAGTGTTTCATATCAGATTCAAAATCTATTCAATATCATAAGAGAAAAATATCTGAAAAATATTTCAATTGTGTAGTTGATCAAAGTATCTGGCACGCAGTGAAATTCGTTTCCGAATGAATTGTTAATGAAGACTTACTCAAATGGCCATTAGGTTTTTTAATTAAACTCTAAGTAAAAAGGATATTTTTTCTCAGTAAATCATCAAAAAAATTCTATAAGCAATGAAAACTTCGGCTAATACTTTATTTAGCTATGTAAACAAACAAATAACACAATTATTATGATAATATAGCTTTTGTTAGGGTATGGGTGTGAGTCGTGGATGTGGGTGATGGGTGTGGGTATGGGTATGGGTATGGGTGTGTTCTTCCCTCACACCCACATCCATCCCACCCACCCATACCGATCCACATCCACACCCTACGATCTTTATTCCTTGGTACGCCATTCGAGAAGCTGAAACCTGATCCGAAGCAATAATGAACAAGTAATTTGAAGCGTAAACTTGCTGATCACAAGCTCGAAGAACGGAAGGACCTGCACGCAATGTCCGAAAACGCTGTGCTGGCTGCTATAAGAAAAGCAGGGAACAATAATAAAGAAAAGCGAGTACGGCGAAAGCAAAGAAAATAAAAACCTTCTGTTCTAATTGTAACAAATTTTTTTTGTCTTGATTGTTTTAATGAGAAGCATCATGCTACGGAATAAAGGACTCAAAAATTACCGAAGGCAGAGCAGATGACACATTAGATGTGACCCTCTGCCTAAGAAAAAGGCAAAAGAAGGTGTTTTTCTATACAATTTTCTCTTCAAATATAGTGTTACCCACCGGTGGGTCACATCGCCTCAAAAGCGTTAAGATTTACGAGAGTGTTTTGAATTGCATGATGCTACCAAAATCCAAATGACTCAATTAAAAGTGCTTCACTAGGAATCGACTTATGAAAACCCAATTCAAAGAATAACTAATACACAAGGCGAAATATTTTGGGTTATTATTCTAAACTTTTATTCGAATAAATCGAAAGGGAAAAGATTTTTTTCTCTAGTTCCACGTAACCAAGCGTTACGGACTTTAATTTCTTTTTACACCATAACATCTATTTCTCGTCAATGACAAAACCAGATTCTTGGAAGCTTTTATTAGAGATAGAAACCATTTAGATCTGCTATCAACAATACTTTCATAGATTTACCTTTAACTAGAGCTGACTTACTCAAAACATACCGGTTGCTACTAGCTTTAAAAAAACTCAGTTGCTTTTTTAGCAGAGTTATGAGTTTAGTTTTTCATTACGAAACGAAGTAGCATGCACACAAAATTTAAAATATAAAGGTTGTTCAGTTTTTGACAAGCTTTCAGAATATCAGGTCATTTCCTCCTGAGGATAAATGCATCGAATGACAAACTAAAAACATTGTTCGTTAGATGGCTTCATCAAAAATAAAGTTTAGTGTCGAACAAATTATCTTGGTAAGTTGACATCTAATATTTGTACGAAAATCATATGTTGAATGTGTTCTTCGTATCTGATCAATTAATATATAATTGAAGAATTTTTTCTAATGATCGATAATCATTTAAAGATACATTTCACTATCGTTTTTTTGTATAAAATTTCTAGTTGGCCACTTTAAGATAGATTTCGCGTATTCAGAGCATTCCATACTGTTCAGGAATACAAACGCTTCCATTTCAAACAATATCGATCCTTCTTTCTTACAATGGTAAATTCAGCTTTCTGTACTTTTAAATTCGAATCTTTCCCCCGTGTGTGGATAACTGATGGCTGACTTTGTCGACTTTCAGATGAATGATTCCTATCGAATTCATTGTAAAGATGTCGTAAGCAATCATTTATCCGATATTTACCATTTGTAGCATATTCATTTGGACTTTAGAAGCATATTCATTAGAAATAAACTTTCCATCAGTATTCATAATTTTATCAAATATAAACATTTTTTCTATTTTAGTTTCGAACGAAGCATTTCAATCTAATTGGTTTCTCATGTAGATGCTACAGTAGAAAGAATTATATAGGAATTCTATAAATATTTACTACTAAAAATGATATTTTGTTATTTGTTAGTGCACGATGGTTGTTAAAGATAATATCTTTTTCAGCTTTACATTTTGGATACATGAAAGAAATAAGTTGTTATGAAGAATATTCCCATTAGAAACAGTTTAGTTTTCTGTGGTTATTCTCAGATGAACGCTTCACACTAAAATACTTTTCATTCACATGAAAAATAAAAAAAAATAAGAAAATTAAAATTTACTGAATTTTTAATAAAGATATCTTTATCTATCTATTGTAAGAGTATTAAAAAATTTTCAGCCTTATTGTTTCGGCTAAATGTTTAATCAAAAATCATTTAAACTAGGTTTTTATTGTTAACATTTCATCTAAGATTGAAAATCTTCAATTTTATTTTCTTCAAACATAGTTTTAAGTCAATTTTGCAATTTCACATTTTAACATTACCTTTTGGATCTCCGATGAAATCATTAACAAAGGTAAATACTTACAATATTTTAATTTTTGTATTCTGTTTTCGATTTATTTTAGGACATATAAGAAGGATGAGAATTTCTTGGTATGACTCAATTACAATGTGTTGAATTAAGAATATCTTTATGAGAAAGCTACTTATCATGTTAATTGTTAGATTAAATCTGATCTATTGCTTTGAAATGTTGAAAAACAAGTTAAACAATAATTTTTAAAAAAATTAGTTTGAAATAAAACATGCATTGTGCAATATTTTATATTGTTAAATTTTTTTGAAATAAATTAAAAGATCTTGATTAAAAATCATAATATTATTTTTTAATTAAAATTTAGAAAGATGTCATCTAGATTATTGTTTCGTTTTGCTGCTAATCATCGTCAATCATTTGGACTTTTAAAAAATGTTCAACTAGCTTTTAAAAGATCGTCGGCTACAACAGCTCCAATTATAAAACCACTGCGTAAGATGTTTGCTTTTTTTTTGTTTCTGATAAAATGTGAACCTATTCTTCTTTTAGCATCATTATCAGATGGTGCAAAACAACGCATAGGTCTATGGCTTGCTTGGTCAGCAGGTATGACAGCAGGTGCTGTTGTGATTGGTGGTGTAACGCGTTTAACTGAAAGTGGTTTATCAATGACAAATTGGCATTGGTTTAATGATATGAATCCACCACGTACAACTGAAGCATGGCAAGAAGAATTTGAACGTTATAAACGTTTTCCTGAATATGAACAAATGAATCGTGATATGACATTAGGTGAATTTAAAAAAATTTATTATATGGAATTTGCACATCGTATGTGGGGTCGTGCAACAGGACTTATATTTACATTACCAGCATTTATTTTTTGGAGACGTGGATTATTTGATAAAGCAATGAAAATACGTGTTTTAATATTTGGTGGATTGATTGCAGCACAAGGTGCATTAGGTTGGTATATGGTTAAATCAGGTTTACATAAAGAAACATTAATTGATGGACGTGCAAGTGTTTCACCATACAGACTAGCTGCCCATCTTGGTACAGCATTTATTCTTTATTCAGGTCTTTTATGGAATTCTTTTAAGTAAGATTAATAAATAATCTATATAAGATTTTATTTATGTTTAATTGAAGATATTTAACTAAACCTGATATTTATGCTTCAACACGTGTTCCACGTGGTTGGGCAATGGGTGTGCATGGCTTATTAACTCTTACTTTGATAACTGTCATATCGGGTGCATTTGTTGCTGGTTTAGATGCTGGTCTTTGTTATCCAACGTTTCCGAAAATGGGTGATTATTGGATACCACCAGAATATTCAACATTAACACCATGGTATAGAAATCTTTTTGAAAATCCTGTTGCTGTTCAATTTAACCATCGTGTTCTTGGCTTAACAACAACAGCAGCTGTATTAGCTTTTTCATTAGCTTCACTTTCAGTTAAATTTGGTCGACGAGCTGCAATGGCTAGAAATTTACTTGCAGCAATGGTTATTGTACAAACATCGTTAGGCATAGGAACACTCTTATATCATGTGCCTATTTCAATGGCAGCAGCACATCAAACTGGTTCACTTGCTATGCTTTCATTTGCTCTTTGGTTAGCCTTTAATTTAAGACGTGTTCCAAAAGTGTGAAGTGCTGATAAATTGTTGCTGTTATTCTTTTGTTTTTCTAAATAGGTTTTTTAGAAGATCTCAAGTTAAACAGAATGGCACAGACAACTATCTATTTTATAATATGTTCTTTACAGATACAATATTGCTTAGGATATTTATGCAAATTTAGTTGATTATCATTTTCCTTTGTCGAAACAAGTCTTGAGGACACGACAATAGTTTTTGAGAGTTTTTTTCTTTTGTTTGTACTTCCTTTAAAAACATGATAGAAGGCTGTTTTTTTTTCAAAAGTCATGTCATTTAATACTTTATCAGAATTACAACTCCAAATGTTTATGATTGTTTTTGAAATTGTAATAGGTTACTAAAGACGAATATATTTATTGTTGCACTCGACTTCTCATTATGCGAAATTTGAAAAATATAAAAATTATGAGTTTGAAGTATAAGCAACTAGGATATATTGTTCTCGATGATACACTGAATGAGAACAATAAATTTATTGATAGAAAAGAATCAAAAATTTTATCAAGTTCCTGATATTTGATCCGTATCCATTGATTCATTCGCAGACGATTAAAAAAAGGTGATTGATTTTCGCGGTGATTGATACATTGTCATGATGACCATATATTTAACTTTCTTTAAGGGTTTTATTTAACTTGAAACGATTTTGAAGTAAACGAATATTTACAATACAAAAAAATATCAATGAAAAAATTCTGAACGAACGAATGGTTGATCAAAAATATTTCTTTACAATCGACTACAATTGCTGTGTGCTATATCACTGGTAAAGCTATTTGTTATCAATACTAGTGATTCATGTTTAATAACGAAGCTTTTCAAACGTAAACAAGTGTTTGTTTCCCAGAAGAAATTGCTCAACATAATCAACATGAGACGGATGATGATTGAGTTTGACTGGGCATCAAATGCAATGACTGTAGATAAGTGTTGCTTTTTTTTCGGCTTTAAAATTAAGCATGAATAACCCTTAAAGAAAAGGAAAATCTTGGGAGGTTTTTTGAAGGAATTTATGTTTTAAATAGATGTTCATCAGTCATTGTCAAGGATCAAAAATTATTAAAAGCACTATCGTGAAAATAATTGATCAAAGGAATAAAACTATCGAATTCATATGGAAGTGAATAAACATCATATCTGCTGGTATTGTTCCCAATTTAATCATGTGTGCATGAATCAACTTGTTGATGTCTTCTTTTTATGAAACTATGTTGTATATCATTGTGCAATGAATGATCGATTTGGTGGAAACAACAGCATTTTTACTAAAACTAAATTTGTTTAGTTGTGGCATATAAATGAGGATCTGATCATATACTTGAATACCATCCATATAAATCAACTCAATTATCTATATCTAAAGCAATAATGTTAGTTTATTCAGATTTGACATTCGAGATAATAATGGAATCACTCCATTGCCATAAAACCTTGTATAACATGCTCAAATCAACGAAAATTATTTCAATGTCGAAAGTTTTCTCTGTAAAGCATATGAATACGTATATATTTCATAGTTAAATTTTCTCAATGAATAATAATCGAATTTGTACTGACTGTATTATTTATATTTAATGATGAACCAAAAGTTTTAAATATATCGCCAATCAATGTTGATAAACATGGGAGATGTCCACCAAGAAGTGAAAGATATAATTGATAAAGAGTGAAATTGAGGATAATTGACAGCATAAAGTATAAGTGCAATAAAAAGTGGTTTAATCGTAATTTTGTTCATTTTATGATGAATATGCAATAAGATTTTTTTCAGAAATTCGATCAAGAATCGTAGAGTTAGAATATAACAAAGATTTGTTTCTAAAATTTAAATGATAAATGTAGATAGGATCAAGTATTTATCGATCTAATCATTGATGTATATCAACAAGTAAATTGAATACACCGAAAGTTCTAAATGTTTTGAATATAGAAAGTAACATCTTGTCAGGTAGATTAGATGCGTTATTCGAATTTCTGGACATCCCTTTAGCTGCCTATTTATCAAGGTATAGGAGATATAAGGAGGTATATGAGCTATAGGAGGTATAAGGAGGCATAGGGAAGTATAGGAGGTATAGGAATCGATTTTTTCGAGCAAGGGTTGGCAAGTGGCACCAATATATTTTATGAATAGATGTTTAAATTCAAATACTATTGAATGATCAGCTTATATATATATATAGATATCTATTGTCTTGTAGTTCTCATTACTGTTTATGATTACAATACAGTATACGATAATAGTCTACTTATATCAGAAGATGATGAATAATTGATACGCTTATTTTGCTTTCGGTCTAATTTTTTTTATTTTTATTCATACATATTTAATTCATTCGTGTGATCATCATCAAATTTTACTGCCTTTATCATATATGAGTTGCATTACAACCAATAGCATGATGCTTAGAATAAGTTGGAATAAAAATTAAAAATACGAGAAGCCTACTAAAAATTTGGGTGCTACTGCAGAATAGGAATAGCCACATTATTCTATGCATACAAAACAAAAAAAAATCTATTGGCGCAATAGATGATCAGCATAATGTGACGATGGGGATGTTTCCATTCCGCAGTAGTATCTATTTTTAAATTACAATAAGTAATGAACATTATTTCAAACGTTCTATTATTCTTAATGAAAGGAAAATAATATAGGATCTCAAAAATAATATTTTACTCTATGTTCTTTTTGTTCATGTGCTAAATAGTATTGTGTGGCCCATCTAGTCACACTTTGAATGTGAAACTTTATGTTCAACAACAGTTAGTGCTCGTTTTAAGTTTTTCATTAGTACTCGATCAACCAACAAATCCTGATGATAATTTCATCAGAAATTTAAAAAGCATCACAAACATGCCCAGTGATGTTGTTTGGTGCATTAAGCTGGCGATGAAAGTTGAATAGCAAGCGAAAATACGAACGAAAATAAGAATAATAGTACCATTAATGTGGCAGTTGAAGGTATTGATTCACAACATGAAGCAGTATATAGAGAATTGACGCCATTCTGAAGCTGGCTACCTACTTGTGCTGTGATTCAACATTCAAATTCGAGTACGTGGAGGACCAAGTTGAAACTATGGCTTCCATCAAAAAGATATAAGAAAATATCGGTCACATCCATAGAGGCCACCCGAGGGAAATTTGTTTTTGATTTATTTAAAATATGTTCCATATGTTTTGGCTCGCCTAATCAATAACAATTGTATCTGTGTTGATGACAAGAGAGAAAGAATAATAACAATTAAAAATGCGTAGCTTCCAAATTACGAACAAAAATTAAGCCAATGAAGAAAAAAAGTGTTCGCAATTTGGAACACAAAAATAACGTTGATCTTATTTTTATTGCGTTTTCAAATTGTGAACACTTTTTATAATTAAGTAATATAGTTTTAATTCTTTTTATTTGACAAGTCAATACGAATTTGTCATTTGAATATATTATAATAAATGAGAATAATGATGAACGAAAATAAATAATAATATAATTTTTTTTCCTTGTTATTATTGTATTTTCTTACAAATAATAAAAATATTTAAAAAAAGGAAAAAAATTATTATATTATTATTTATTTTTGTCCATCATTATTCTCATTTATTATTATATTTGCAAATGACAAATTTGTATTGACTTGTCAAATAAAAAGAATTAAAACTATATTACTTAATTA